TCTATATCTATATCTATATCTATATCTATGTCTATATCTATATCTATATCTATATCTATATCTATATCTATATCTATATCTATATCTATATCTATATATATATCTTTATTTGTTTGTATTTCTTCAGGCATATATTGATTTATATTTATATATTTTTTTAAAGTTTACTTAACTGGTTGTCAAGAAACCACACAAAGTACTTACTGGAATACTAAAATATGGCGCATAAATCTGTAAGACCAACAGACGGCAATAAAAAGGTTCATAAACAACTAACCTCAGCCAATGTTTTTCTTTTACTGGCTTTCCTGCCTGCCCGGCTAGCCTTCTGTTGCCTTCCAACTTAACCACATAGTTAAACGCCCTCAGTCGCCACCGCAGCCACGGAAGCAATACCGAACTGCAGCGTTTATGATTGGTAAGTAGATATCCTATAAATTTTTCGTAATATTATTAATATAACATATATTAATATTGGTAGGTAGGTATTTTATATTATATTTTTCTGTACTTCGAAAAGTAAGATCTAAAATTTGTTTATATTTTTTTCTGTTCTCTAAATACCAATACGCTTTTCACAGTACCCTTCACAGTTATATAAGAACAAAAGAATTAAAATGTAGTATATATTTAACGCTTTTGGCTTAGAATATACCCTCTATCATTTCGATATAAAGTAAAGATGCCACCGCAACGGCCAAACACTTGAAAAATCTGTCATAAAATTTGAGTGGCGTAAAACCAACAACTGGTGGAAATTGCCAACATATTTGACTGTTTGCCTAATGAGCCCAGCCCGCGGGGGTTGCACGAAATGTTGTCACTATCACGCTGTGGTGCTCTATTTGTCGGGGGGTGGGTGGTTGGATCTTGGTGGTGGTGGTTGTTGAACTTAAATTTGTAGGGCGCGTTTAATTGTGCGGCCTTTGCTGCAGTTTTGATTACTCAATATGTTTGATTTTGGGATTTATGGCGCGTGCTGCAACATGTTTCGAGTGCCACTTGTGCAGCTGTCAATGATGTGAAAAACTGTGCATGTGCTCAAAAATATTATGTAAAGCTGAACCATATATATATAAAAAATGAAAGCTAATTTTAACAAAGAAATGCCATTAAAGCGTCTCCAATGGCACTAGTGTGTGCGCAGTGCCAACGCAAAGTAAACAGTCAAAAAATAAAAAAAAATAAGACACCTGTAGACAGCAAGTAGTTGCTGACTGACTCACTCAGTGGCTGCCGGTCTGTCCGACTGGTTGGCTATTATTAGCTGTAAACCAAAAACAATGTAAACCACAGTCAGCAAACGGCAACAACTACAAGAGAACAATACCAACAACAACAAAAACAACCAAAACAACCGCCACACTACAGTGCAAAAGTAATCCCTGGAGTCTGTAGCCAACTGGCCACAACGAGAGCCACCAACGCAAAAGTTGTTGTTGCTGTTGTTGCGGTTGGTGTTGTCGTTGGCGTCGCTGGTCGTCGCCTTTTAGCCAATTTTGATATAACTGAAAGCGTCAATTATACGTGAAATTTATGATGCCGTGTGAAGAATAACACCAACTTGCAACATATTTGGACAGCCAGTTTTTTTTGCTTTTTCTTGTCGCAATTGCTGTTGTTGGGCTGTTGGACAATTGTCGCTCTGGGATTTCGTAGATATGCTGCTGATAATGGGCATTGTGGTGCAGTTTTCTCACTGTCCCCGCTGCAAAAGATGACAAAGGAACCAATGCGAATGCGGCAGGCAGCGTTTCAAGTTGTTGTTGTTAGCTGTGTGTATAATACGCCCACCGGCAGCAACTACCACGGCAACAGCAACAGAAGAGCAACTGGCTAGGCCAATGGCTAGAGAAGACATTTTGGGCACACACCAAGTCAATTTGTTTTATCTATTGTCGAACAAGAGTCATGTCACAACGGCACAATGAGATTTAGTGTGTGTTGTTGTTGTTGCTGTTGTTGCAGTGTCTCGTTGGAGCCTGAAGCAACAATGGTGCGGCAGAGCAAATCAGCGACATGATTCGATATTTAGATATGCGCGCTAAGAAATATGAGCCGCTAACAACACGGCAACAGCAACAGCAACAGAATAAACAATAACAATAACAACAAAAGATGCTGCCGCGTTGTTGTCGCTTGTCTGTTGTCTGCTGTTGCTGTTTGCTGTTTGCTGGCTGCATGTAATTGCCAAGTTTGTTGCTTAAGTCTTTTGTTTTGGACAACGACAATAAGCCGCACATCGATAGCCCAGAGTTGCATTTAAATTTGATTTATACACACTCGAGTTGCATATAATTGGGCAGAGTCGCCGCGCTGTCTGTGTGGCTGCTACAGCGGCAACGGTAAGCGGCATATTGCTGCTGCTGCCAGCTAATAATTGGCTGCCCCAAAAATGGGCAGCACTCGTATCATATTCGTAGTGGGCTGCCAGATCATATTTTCCAGGTGTTAATTGTATGCCTGCAGCAATGCAACTAAAACGTGTCCCCGAGGCGTG